GGAATACAGGCGCGCAAGTATCCAGTGGAAACTCTAGTTTATTCGGCGGAGCGAAACCTGCAAGCACGTCTGCTTCTTCTGCCCAACCCAGCACTACAGCAGCTGCATCACCCAGCGGTCTCTTCGGGAGTGCGCAGTCCGGAAGCGCTGCTCCTACCGGGGGTCTTTTCGGAGCGAAGCCAGCTTCAGCTTCTACTCCCGCCGCCGGGGGCCTGTTTGGTGCAAAGACTGAAGGGGCTCCGCCTGCTGCGGCTTCGCAAGCCGGAAGCACGGCCCCTGCCAACTCCACGGCCTCCTTATTCGGTGCCAAACCTGCAGCTCCAGCCACTACAACTCCAGGCTCGACACCGGCGAGTGGCCTCTTCGGCGGCGGCGCAACAACTTCTGCTGCCTCAGGCGCTTCTGCCACAACAACAGCTGGAGGCCTGTTTGGAAACAAACCTGCAACGACTACAACTACTACAGCAGCTCCGGCCGCAACGGCAGCAAGCGCTGGCAGTCTTTTTGGCGGCGCCCCCAAGCCATCTACTGAGTCATCTACTTCGAAGCCAGCCGGTGGTCTGTTCGGAGCACCTGCATCCAGCCAGCCAGCCGGTTCTGCAGCTACCACAACTGCAACAACTGGTGCAACAACTACCACTGCCCCTGCGGCTGGCTCGACTGCTGCTGCTGCCAGCAGCCTGTTTGGTGCGAAACCTACCACAGATGCCAGCAAGGATGCAGCTAAGTCTGCGGCTTCCAGTGCCACCCCTGGGGCGCTAGGTGCTTCCACGACTGGCCCAACATCCCAGATGGCGCGACTCAAGAACAAAACCATGGAGGACATTGTTACACGTTGGGCGTCCGATCTCTCCAAGTATCAGAAGGAATTCAAGGAGCAAGCCACCACTGTGTCGACCTGGGACAGAAGCCTCGTGGATAACGGCGAGAAGATCCAGAAGTTGTACTTGGATACATTCGAGGCCGAACGAGCCAGCCATGAAATCGAGCGACAACTTGCTGCTGTAGAAAGCCAGCAAGATGAGCTCGAGGCTTGGTTGGACCGGTATGAGTCTGAGGTTCAGGATATGTTTGCGAAACAGCTTGGCCCTGGCGAGCAGTTAGCTGGCCCTGACCAGGAACGAGAACGTACGTACAAGCTTGCGGAGAAGCTGACGCAACAATTGGATGAAAAGTCGCGCGATCTCTCCAAGATGGTCAAGGAAATCAACGACATCTCAGGAACATTGAACAAGGGTGCTAAGCCCGAGGACCCTGTAAGTTACATTCCATTTTTTATTACCCTGGATAAGGTTTGCTAACCCAGTACACAGCTGAGCCAGATTGTTCGGGTCCTGAATGGTCACCTTACACAACTGCAGTGGATTGATGCTAATGCCTCGTCGCTGCAAGCCAAGGTTGTGGCTGCTCAGAAATCGAGCAGCAACCTAGGAAGTCATTATGCTGGCTCTGATAACGATGCAGCAGAGAGCTTTTATCGCTCTTACATGGGTCGACGATGAGGAGGAGTAATAATTATTGGCTTGGAGTTTTAGGCAAGGAATTCGGGTAATTCTGTATCAGATACGAACGTGGAGAGAAGACGTGCAGTAGAGCTCAGTTCAGAGTAACAAGGATACGGACAAACGCTGGGAATCCAATGTTGAGGAGTGCAAATGCGTGATTGTTCTTGTACACTAGTTTACCTTAGACTATGGAAAAAGACAAGCACTGGAAGAAGTGCAATTTCAAGTCAGGTCGGGTCCCCCCAAATGATAAATGTACATCCATCGATCTTGGCGAGCGGGATTCAACCTCACTCAGAGCTGATGGTTTCTCCCCCGCAGTCTTTGCCGGGGGTTATCCGGTAATCCGAGGGATGAGTTGTTTAGTTCTTCTCGCCGCCCTGCTCACGGGTGATCTCGTCACTGAAGGGGAATTGAAGTCAGAGGTATGCTCAACTCGGCCCGTATGATACATAGGTAGCTTACATGTGCTTGGAGAGACGGTCAAGGTGCTGCTGCTGCTCCTGGAGCTTCTTCTTGAGCTCGATGAGCTTCTCCTTCTCGCGCTGGCGGATAGCGTAATCCTCGCTGGCCTTCTCCCGTCGCTGGAAGGCATCACTAGAGAATGGCAAATGTCAGAATGCTTCAATCGCCATGTCAATTGGACCTTAGACCGAGAACTCACCCGGAACCACCAGTGGGACGGACTGAACCAGTAGCTCCCTCAGTCATGACGCGAGGAGTGGTAGAGAAGCATCGAACAGGCCAGAAGGCGGCTGTCTGGCGGAAGGTTGTGCGAAGCATGCTGTCGTTGAGGTTTTGGTTTTTTGTCTTGGCTTGCTAGTGACAAGGAAGGATTGGAGATGTGCTTTGTTTTGTAGCCGATGACGTTGGAGGGTTGCTGGTGAAAGAGTCGGCCATGATCTGACGACGAGCTCAGGCCAAGGGTATAATGCCATGGTCGCCTTAGGCCGTTACCTGATGCTAGCACATGACGGGCTAGTAAAAACAGGTACTGGGTTAACAAATCGTGGCCGGCCTAGCGGTAAATCCCGGCCTGCTCCGCCTGCAAGCTCGGATCTGGGTCATGATCTTTCAGCCTGCGAGACAACGGAATTGTGCCAGCCAGGGACCAGGATATAGCTCTAGGGTGCCTGGTTAGGCATAACTACCCTAGATTGTGCATGCAAAGTAGCACTTTGGTTTATCGGTATTTTATGAAGCTCGGGGTTTCCTTGCATTTGATATTCGACCTTTACAAGCTACTACTTGCGTACCTAGGTACCTAGTATGGGTGGGCGCATCACATGTACCACACATAGCTTCCATACCTTAGTACCTAGGTAAGGTAGCCATTGCATGACATCAGAGCTCTCGTTAGGTGGGTTTATCGGGGGTTATTCCACATACCTTAGTACACAGCCATAATGCCATAATAGGTACTAAAGTACCCGGACATCGTACGGTGTTTAGGTAGCATATGTAGACCTCACGAGATCTGGGACAACTGCTCTGACAGGCGGAGGAAGTGATATTGGAAGTTTTGGATAACGACGTCAGTGAGTCATGTAGTCAATCGATCAAAGCAACACAATATACACAGTAGGTACTCAATCCAAGTATAATCCGGGCAGATGTGCTGCGCCAATACATATTCCAGTCATTCGTGTAGTCCTATGACTTCGTACCCTAGACTGCTCATCAATGAATGCAATGCTAGCTGCCTGGCGGATTTGCAATAATCAGAGGCAATACAGGCGTCTGAGGCGGGTGTATTCACTGCAGAGCAGTCAATCGACTAAATTGAGAGAAAGATCTCCTTCGTGTTCCAATATGAGAATGATGAATCTGACCAGCAGCATTCAGATTGCAGTTCCTGTCTCACAACCGAAGTCTCGTGTCGGCACTTCTGTGGCTGCTCCGAGCACACCAACAGCCTGACTAACAAGGCAAAAGAAGCAATCAGGTCGGGTCGCATGATGACGATGATGACACTTGACACCATGGACCCCTCATTTCTTTTTACTTTATTTTTATTTTTGGTAAAATCGCCTTGGTTAACGTGCCCGTTTCTTAGCCGTTGACGTGTATTTCCGCTATTGTTAACGGCTTTTGTCGGCCAGAGATTTAAGGTCACGAACATAGTTCTTGACGTCGAGATGCCAACTCAAAAGAAACATGGACCGTTCTATGGGACCACCTAAGCTGAAAAGTAAGGCGTGACTGTTCGGTTTGTAGACGAATTACATAGGTAGGGAGACAATGTATCTAGGTAGTAAGGATGCCAAGATCCAAGACCTATCACCCGTCAATGCGAGGCCTCAATAGAGGCCCATTTCGTTTGGCAGCTTGTAATCGTGACAAGACAAACTACCTAACGAGATTAAGCATGAATGAGAAGAGCGATTGTCCATTGTTGGGTGTCCATTGAAGTTCCAAGGCCCAGCCAGCTTCAATGGATTCCCCATGGCAGGTGGGTGACAACCTATCGGGTGAGGTGGGGGGCTGCTAATCAAGGTAAGGTACGTACATGGGGCTGACTGCCCGGCTGCTGGCTGCTGGCGCTGGCAGTCACTGCCCAGAGGTGCCCCTTCCTCGATATCTCTCGCGCTTTCGTCACCCCCAACCAATAACTTGACAATAACTCCCCCGTCTAACTCTCTCAACTCAACTCGTCCCGCAAAACAAAACCACTTCTTTTTTTCATCTCTCTTCTCTTTCTCTTGGCCCCATTCGCCATCTGCCAACTCCTTCAACTGAAGCTCCTCTCAGCCGAATTTTGTTTATTCGCTTTCCCTTAAACAATCCCTCAAGCTACTATAAATTTCCACGACTCAAGGTACGTATCTACACTTCTGCCCAGCTCAACCCTTCTACTTGTGAACAAGAACCTTCGCCCTATCTGTTGCGGCTATCTCGTCTTCTTGTTGTTGTTTGTGTTTCGTTGTGCCCTTCTACCACCCACTCTGTCGTCATTGCCCCCCCCTCCTCAGACCGAAACGAACACGCACCCATTATCCCCCTTGGGATCTCCGGGCGCCTTCACCACCACGATTAAGCGATAGCCGCCCTATCTGTACTGCCAACGACAAAAGCATTTTATTTCGAGGCTACTCGTCGTTTAATTACTGTGTGGTGCTCACTGTCGCTTGTCGCCCATCTCAGGAGGCCGTCGTCTCAGAACCCCTCCGCCACTGACAGGCCTAAGAGCGGGGAGCCTCACCGAGTCGTCGCCGCCGCTCTAGCCACGCACTAGGCGCGCAACTGCCTCTCCCTGTACTCCGTATCGCCTAAAACCATCGACTTATCGCCCCTCGCCCACTTCGAAGCTTCCTTCATCATTCCATAATCGTCGCTTTCACCAACGCATACACGAGCTTGCGCCGTTCGACTCTACCACTCTCTTTGTGCCTGTCTGCCTGTGTCTGCACATATCGCTCTATTTGCTTCGTCTGACAAGCTTGACCACCCCCCTTTACTAACTGTCCTTAAACACAGTCGCCAAACACCAACAAAATGGGTCACGAAGACGCCGTCTACCTTGCCAAGCTCGCCGAGCAGGCTGAGCGATATGAGGGTATGTTATAGGGCTCAACACAATATGTCAACCGCGCGCTAACGTATGGGGCGCGCGCCCATTGCAGAGATGGTTGAGAACATGAAGATTGTCGCCGGTGAGGATCGAGATCTCACTGTCGAGGAGCGAAACCTTCTCTCCGTTGCCTACAAGAACGTCATTGGCGCCCGCCGTGCCTCCTGGCGCATAGTCACCTCTATCGAGCAGAAGGAGGAGTCAAAGGGCAACTCTTCTCAGGTTACCCTTATCAAGGAGTACCGACAGAAGATTGAGGCCGAGCTTGCCAAAATCTGCGACGACATTCTCGAGGTTCTCGACCAGCACCTTATTCCCTCTGCTAAATCTGGCGAGTCCAAGGTTTTCTACCACAAGATGTAGGCGCCAACTCATCACATACCGTCGCATACTTTTATTGATCAGTCTTGCAGGAAGGGTGACTACCACCGTTACCTTGCTGAGTTCGCCATCGGTGACCGCCGCAAGGACTCTGCCGACAAGTCCCTCGAGGCCTACAAGGCTGCTACTGAGGTTGCCCAGACTGAGCTTCCTCCCACCCACCCTATCCGCCTGGGTCTTGCCCTTAACTTTTCAGTTTTCTACTACGAAATCCTCAACGCCCCTGACCAGGCTTGCCACTTGGCCAAGCAGGCATTTGACGACGCTATTGCCGGTACGACTCGCGACTGCTTTCAATTGGCCAACATTATACTGACACGGAATTTACAGAGCTCGATACCTTGAGTGAGGAGAGCTACAAGGACTCTACACTGATTATGCAACTGCTCCGGGACAATCTTGTGAGTTTCCCGATCGCTCATTTTCACCTATTCGATGACAGCTAACACAATGACAGACCCTCTGGACCTCCTCTGAGGCCGAGACCTCCGCTGCTGGTCAGGCCGAGGCTCCCAAGGAGGACGCACCTGCGGCCGCTACCGAGGAGCCAGCCGCCCCGGCCGAGGAGCCTAAGGCCGAGTAGGGAGTCGACTAGTGATTTGTCTATGCAGGTGTCAGGTGGACTGGTGTCTACGGAGTGTGGACAGAAGACCTCATTTTTGATCAAGAGCTTCGGCATCGTTTCAGTACAGACAATGGCCATGGAAAGGGCTGACTTTTTCACCAACGGGCTGGCAAGGCGAGTCTATAACAGAACACTTTTACGTTCTGCTCTTAGACTGTTAATGCGTTGGCCGTCTGGACAATAAAAATACTAAAATTACTTTCAATACACGAAATATATGACTAGTGATGACTAGTGATGACTAGTGATGACGCAGTTGAAGAAACTGAATTGGGATTTTTTTTAGGCATGCAAGCAACAACATTACTAGATTACAGTGCAAGGTTCTTGTTTGGTTGTTGGCCAGGTTCTTGGATCATGAATGCTGGCATGGTCAATTTATGCCCTTGTCAAGATATATGCGGATAAGAGTACGCACTGTCATGATCGGCTCAACAGTAATCTGATTATGAGGAGGCCGCAAAGCCAAGTCTTAGGTATCTTTGGAAGTTTCATTTGAAGGAAGTGATTGTTGTTCATCCTCAATAACGGCAAAGTGAACTCGGAGCCACAAACTACAGTCGAGACACCCAACCACAAGCTCCCCCTCATCACTCACTTCTTCCAAGTCTGCTTCGCAAAACTCATAGCTATGCTCATTCCCACAGCGACAAGGGCGATACCAGCATTCCTGATCCTCATCAAATGCCAGATCGTCTAGGTCAATATTTTCCACGCCGGTCTGAAAAGAGCCATCCCACTTTTCGCTTGGGCGAGACACCCGCATAGCGGCGTCGTAAGCTGCCCGACAAGAAGGGTCGGAAAGAGTGTTGAGAGCAGTTGTGATTTGGTCGACTGTGAAGCAAACAAAGGATGGATCTGAATTTGTGACTTTGTCTGGATGGTTACGGAGGAGGGCCCGGTGATAGGCGCGCTTTATGAGGGGCGTAGAATCATGTTGTGTGTCGAGGAGCGTGGGCGTGAGGTTGAGCACTTGGTAATGTGTCGCCACTTCTGGTGAGGTGACTGCAGCCTGTGAAGAAGAGGACATGCTCTGGGACCGAGTTATGCAGATGCCCGTTTGTCAAGTGTAATACGGACAGCTAAAAGCCTGAAGGCTTCGGTTTGATATCACGTGATACACATTCAATGGAGCGAGCTATTGTGAAATCGTGGATATCTATCTACCTTGGTTACATGGAGAAATGAGAGCCATATTAATGTTATTTGGCGTACAAGATGGGAAGTTCATGTTCCAGAACCTCCAGACGCAGTGGTAGTTGGGTGGCCTGTAATTTACGAAAGGGAGGTTGGATCTTGAGTGCACAATTGTTGTCGACAAGACGGTCGCTGATATTGTTGTACATAAAAATACATGGTGGATGTACAGGGCGCGCCAGAACAGTCATTCCAACTCTCTTCCTGTTGTTTATTTGGGGAACTTGGTCCAACCGTATTTGCCCACCTGTTGATGTAGTTAGCAATGGACGATCAAGGCAGTCAATCTTTGATCTTACCCTCTTCCAGTGCTTGATAAGACTGGGCATATCCAGCATGGCCTTTCTTCTTGTCTCCATCCTGCAGTATAGTTAGTCAATGTTGTTGTTCTAGACTCGTGACAACACGTAGCCAGCCAGTGCAGCTGTGGTCGCCATGATGGGAGCGTTCACTTACTTTGCAATCATATGTCGTTCGTGAATATGACCCTTGACCTTCTGTCCTACACCAGTACCCTTGACTCTCAGACCATGCTCAACCCGGTGAGCCAGCTTGTACTCAGTGCCCTTTCGTGTTTCTGGCAGCAGATCCTCAACGCCGTTCTCACGGGCCATCTTGACCAGCTCAGCCTGGCGACGCTGCGAGTAGACAGGATCCTGCCATTTGCCAGTCACTGGGTGCTTGTAGAAGCGGAAAGGGTTCGGCCTCTCCTCCTGGTATCGGGTCTTTGGGGTATTTTCGGGGAGGATGGCGGCGGGAGGATAGCGGGCAAAGAAGCGCTGCAGTGGTGCGGGCAGCGACTTTGCAAGTCCAATGAGCTGTGATGTTGACGCCATGGCAATTCGCTATGATTTGCCGTGCTGAAGGGCAATCGTTTGCATGCCCCGGAACTGAAAGAATGGTCACGAATCTGGAGCTTTCTGATCTTCAAGGCTACGGTCCCCAAGTTTTCAGATAACTGACTACTAAGTTATACCTTACTGAGCCTACCGACAGACCCCGGCCCGCCCGCACATGTAGGTGGACCCCCATTGTTATTCATCAGCCAATGATCCGTAAAGGCACCCAAAGCTAGATCCACACTTTCTCAGCCTTGTCAACTCTTGTCATTCAACAACAAATCATCAGTCATTGCTTCTATTTGTCGTGGGCGACTGCCTACTAGAAATCTTGTAATAAATTATCGCTCTCCTATTTCTGTTCTTTCATCACACAAAAATGCCCCTCGATATCGAAGAAATCTTGCGGCAAAAGAAGGCTGCAGATGCCGCCGCCGCAAAGCCTAGGTTCATCCCAAAGGCCGAACGAGAGCGACTAGCAGCCGAAAAGGCAAAGAAGGAGGAAGACGAGCAGAAGCGCAAGGCTTCTGAAGATGCGCAGAAACGGCAAGAGGAAGAACAAAAATGGGCCGCCAGATCAAACGGCTCTTCAAGGCACAACGATTCTACGAATGGATCATCGCGCGTACCGACGGGGCCCAAGGCCATGAATCAGGAGAATGGCCGTGATCGAGATGGATATCGAGATCAAGGACGAGGGAAGGGAAGGGGAAGAGAAGGTCGGAAGGGAGATAAACAGGCAGCCGATAAGCAGTCTGCAGAGGATATCGAGGCCACTCTCCTCCGATCACGATACCTCGGGCCCCAAGTTAACCAACAGTCCAACTTTTCGGCGAAGAAGAAACGAATGCGAACAACGGAGAAAAAGTTCAATTTCGAATGGGACGCTGATGAAGACACGTCACGCGACAACGATCCCTTATATACTCGACAGGCCGTCAACCACAATGGATCATTTGCAGGTGTTGGTGGAGAATTCGACGATGAAGCCGAGGAGCGCGCTCGCAAAAGAGCTCGAATGATAGAGGAGAGAGACCCGGAGAATGGAAAAGAGAGAGCAAAGGGCATCATGGAAGACTTCTTCCGAGCACGCGACAAAGCGCGACAACGAGCTGATCGAACAGGACTGGGCAAGCGATGGTCTGAAAAGTCTTTGGAAGATATGCGCGAGCGGGATTGGCGAATCTTCAAAGAAGATTTTGGAATCGCTACAAAGGGCGGTATGATTCCGAACCCCATGCGAAGCTGGCAAGAATCGAACCTCCCTAAGCGCTTGCTCAACATTGTCGAGGACGTGGGTTACAAGGAGCCGACGCCCATTCAGCGAGCTGCAATCCCTATCGCGCTGCAAGCCCGCGATCTAATCGGTGTGGCTGTCACTGGTTCCGGAAAGACAGCCGCCTTCCTACTACCACTGTTGGTCTACATCTCTGATCTACCGCCCCTCGACGAGCTCAATAAGAACGACGGCCCCTACGCTCTCATCATGGCCCCGACTCGAGAACTGGTGCAGCAGATCGAGTCTGAAGCCAGGAAGTTTGCTGGTCCTCTCGGCTTTCGCGTTGTGAGCATCGTCGGCGGCCACTCTATCGAGGAACAGATAAACAACATGCGCGATGGTGCTGAGATTATCGTTGCTACACCGGGTCGTCTTATCGACTGTCTCGATCGACGAGTGCTCGTCCTAGCACAATGTTGCTATGTCATCATGGATGAAGCAGATCGTATGATCGACATGGGTTTTGAGGAACCTGTCAACATGATCCTCGAAGCACTACCAGTCAACAACGAGAAGCCGGACACGGAAGATGCCGAGGACGCAACAAAAATGAAGCGTTATCTAGGCGGAAACGATCGTTACAGACAGACCATGATGTATACAGCAACTATGCCGCCTCAGGTGGAAAAGATTGCGAAGAAGTACCTCCGCCGTCCAGCCGTCGTCACCATTGGTAACGCAGGCGAAGCCGTTGACACTGTCGAGCAGCGTGTCGAGTTCATTCCCGGCGAGGACCGTCGCAAGAAGCGTCTGCAAGAGATACTTGCCTCGAACGACTTTGCGCCACCCATTATTGTCTTTGTCAACATCAAGCGCAACTGTGATGCTGTCGCCCGCGATATTAAGCAGATGGGTTGGACGGTTGCCACACTCCATGGTTCCAAGACTCAGGAACAGCGGGAAGCTTCTCTCCAGTCAGTGCGCAACGGCGCGACGCAAGTCCTCGTTGCAACTGATCTTGCTGGTCGTGGTATTGATGTTCCCGATGTTTCCCTCGTCGTCAACTTCAATATGGCCCCTAAAATCGATAGCTACACTCATCGTATTGGTCGAACAGGTCGTGCTGGCAAGAGTGGTGTTGCCATTACTTTTCTGGGTCCTGAGGACGCTGATACCATGTACGATCTCAAGCAAATCCTCAGCAAGAGCTCCATCTCCAAGGTGCCAGAGGAGTTGAAGAGACATGAGGCTGCACAGTCAAAACCAGTACGTGGTGACGGCGGAGGATCAAGGAAAGACAAGGAAGAAGGGTTAGGGAGAGGAGGCTGGTAGACACTGATTGATCCTGGAGAATAACTTAGGCGACATGAAATCAATCATTGAAATGGACAAATCCATTAGTCTCGTTAACTAAAAGAAAGAACCCGTAGAGTGAACCCATTTATAAATGTCACTTCCACATCTCTCATGAATTCTTCCCTATATCTGAAGCACAACTTATTGCAAAGCACACACTCTTTCACATGTCTTCCTTTTATCTTATCTTATCTACTCCAGCTTTAGCTGCTCAAACTGCTTGATAGTCTCCTCGAAGCTGTTAAGCTCTTGCTTGGCATCTGCCAATCTCTTCTCGTCTGTCTCGCGGACGGCGTCTGAGACCTTCTCGAGATAGCCAGGGTCATTGAGAATCTTTTCCTGTTTTT